TTCATTAATTATTAACATGTTTTTATAATTAAAGTACATGAAAGTACTTAAATAAAAATGTGAAAAAATGCATAAATGGAAAAATAAGAATGCAAAATGTGCAATTCAAAGATAAAAAGTAAAAATACAAAATGAAAATGCACAGATACAAAATGTAAATGCATGTATGAAAAGGTGTTACTTAAGAGTGATCATCTTAGAACAGATTTCATTGAACACAAAAGTTCGGTACATCAAACAAAACTTTTACATGTAGGGGACAACTTTCAGTCCTAACTTCAACAAAACTTTACATATAGGGAATAACTTTCCTATTTTCTTCCCTAAAACCAAGTTAGTTTATCAGCTTATGGGCCATATTACTTGTCTGGACTGCAGCTTCTTCCATGACATTCTGGTGTTATTTCATCTCCTATGTCAATTCTCGGAGTTGCTCATTTTCCCTTGTGAGAGAACATTTGTGTTCAAAAAGTTTTTGGAGAAGATCTTCATGTATGTTGCAACTCTTTTTCAATTTGGTAACCCCTGATATCCATTCTTCTGGGGTATTTCCTATACCAGCATTTTGAAAGGCTTGACTGACCTTCTGGAAATCTTCATGTATGGTTTCCATTTTGGTGTTCAATTTATCATTTTCAATCTTCAAATGATGTATTTGAGCTTCAAACCTCAGCCAATCTTCTTCTCTCTGGGCGCCCCTACTGATATTCTTACCTTTGAAGACTTTTGGTATTAATCTATCAGGACCCTTAATTACCAAACTAGGTCGATCATTTACCATAAATTGTAAGGTTCCATGATCCAAAAGACTTTGGACTCGGCGTTTGAAGGCAAGACAATTCTCGATGGTATGTCCTTGAGCTCCGACATGATATTCACAATGAACGTTGATGTCATACCAATTTGGATACGGAGGTTGGAACGGTTTTATATAATATGGATCCACTTCTCATGCTTCAAGTAACTTTTCATACAACTCTTTATATGATATAGGTATAGCATCAACATGAGAACCACCTTTTGTCTTGGATTGAACCTGAGTTTTAGTCATTGGGAGCAGACCAAACTTTGATGATTTCTGATCACATGATTTCTTCTCATCTCTGAGAGCTTTTACAGTGGTCACCATTTCTTTGATATTTCCAGACGATTTGTGAATACGAATGATGACTGTCTGTAATTTCTCAAGTTGGTTAGGATCAGAATTCCCTTGCATATCTGAAATTGCAGGATTATCTTTATTAAGCTTTCTCTCTTTCTGTGCAGGAATCTCTTCTCTTTTGGCCAAAACAGATATTCTTTCCATCATCTTGGACATCTGCTCTCTTATCTCACGTATCTCCTTTTGATCTTTAATGGGCATAAAATCTTTGGGTGCATAGCTCTCCTCTATCCTTGGAGTTCCCTGAGGATGTCTTTTCTTGGCCGCATCATATTTTGTTTGATCATAGAACTTTTTGTCCATTTATGATTTCTTTCTAATTTGATGAACAGTCTTTTCAGTTAACACCTTTGTTCATGATCATGCAATGCAAACAAAAGAAAACAATATAAACAAATTAGAACAAAAATAACATGCATATGAAATAAAAAAAAATAAAATGGTTAACCAACTAATTAAAAGAAAAAAATTTATTTATCATGGTATATATAAATCCTAACCTCATGCTTTCTAATTCCATGCTTTGTTTGGAAAAGTTAACCTAACTGCATGATTTCTAGTTCGCATGCATTTATTCAGGGAGAAAAATAATAATAAATTAAAAGCTAAAGCTTATTTCTCCTTTGTGTACACCTATGAACAAAGGTTCAGTACTGTCTTAGATTAGGTGAATTTTTAGGGTTTATTATATGCAGAGTTTCAGTTCTAGGAGTAAAGGTACTCGAATTGTCCTTGTTGATAACCCCTTGGGCTGTCAAAACCCTCAATCCTAGTCCATTACAGACTTTAAGCGGATCGAGTTCAATTCGAGGGGACACATTTCTCTATGACTGACACGGAGAATAAATTCTCACGAAGACATAGAGCATATGAACCCCGAAAGTTACTTGCTAGGCCTGACACGGAGAATAAATTCTCACGAAGACGTCGCTTTCACTCCCACTTAAAAGGGACAAACTCAATTATAGAGCTTTGTGTAATGCAAGTGTTGTGTGTGAGGAGAAATGTTCAAACCTCTAACAGAAAAATAAATAATAAAATAAAATACTTGCAAATAAAATGAAATATTAATAAGAATATATATAAAAACTATAAAAATAATAAATATATAAAAAATTTGAAAAGAAAGAATTATAAATTAAATATATGAATTTTTAATTTATAATTAATAGAGACAATTTAAAAGTTTGACCAGTCCCCAGCAGAGTCGCCAAGCTGTTGTAACCGGTTTTCGTCCGGGCACGAAATATTAAATTTTGTGGGGAAGTTGATGTGAATAAATGGTTTTGAAAATAATTTGGGAGTCGCCATCGGCCTTTTGGGTCAGGTAGGTCGAATACCTAAAAATTATCTTTTAAAAAGAAGTTTTTAAGAAAACATTATTTAAAAGATGAACTGATCTGCGTTTTATAACCAAAAATTTGTTATTTTTAATAATAAAAAGGGATTCGTGGTCGGTTACGTTTAGGGAAGGATTAGCACCCCTACAACGCCCCAAAATTGGTACTTTTTAATTATAAATTGTCTCTATTATTAAAATTTAAAAATTCAAAAATATGTTTAATTTATAATCATATTATTTCAAAATTATATAAAAAAAATATTTATTTATTTAAAAATATCAGAAAAGAACTTCTAGGTGCCTTAAGACAGCTCTTTTCTTTGATATTGATAAATATTAATTTAAATAATATTGTTTAATTTTAAAATACCAGAACAGGACATCCAGTTGTATTAAGACTGTCCTTTTCTTTGATATTGAAAGCTAAATATTAAATAATTCATTTAAAATAAATATTTAAAATTTAATTACTATATTATATATATTTATGAATATATAAAAATATTTAAAAATATAAACAAATAAAATAAAAAATACCACTAAAAAATATTTTAAAAACAATAAAATAAATGAAAACATATAAAATAAATGACTAAATTATAGTGAAAATGAAATTAAAAATCTAATTCATAATTAATAGAAATATTAGGGATTAAAACAGCCATTTCTTTATTTTATTTATTTAATGACTAAAATAAAATTATCTAAAATGAGGAATTAGATTAAAATAAATTAAAAATATAAACTCAGGATTAAAATATTATTTATTAAAATTAAGGGACTAAATATGTTATTTATCCTAAATATTTATAAATACGGTTAAGGGCTAAAATATAATAAAATAAAATTTAAACACTAAATTAAAATGATTAAAAGTCAATTCAATGACTAAATTGCAAAGTTACAAAACTATAAGGTTGCGGAAAGGGTTTACCCTTTCTTAAATTACACAGATACTCCTCCCCCTTAAACGACGTCGCATGGATGAGGGTTTATAAACCCTAAATGCCTGGCCCGAAGGGCCAAGCTTCTCATTTGCTCATTTCTTTCTCTCTCAAAACGAGAGAACCAGAGTTCTCTCTGGTTTCTCTCTAGTTTCCCTCGCCGGAGGGAAACCGGCAGTCATAGGCCACGTACTCCGCCGCCGGCCACCGCCGCCGGCCACCGTAACGGTGGTCGGAATTCACCAAAAACACCCCAAAGCGTAGATCTAAACGTCCTAAGACCGATTTCGGTCTTTGTTTTCCTAAAAGACTCCTAATCGGAGTAAATCTACAAAAATACCTTCGGTATTTTCTGTTCTCCGGCGATGTTTGGGGTTCTCCGATGACAGAGTAAGTTCCTTGTTCTCTTCTTCTTCTTTTCTGGTTTGTGTTGATTGGGATCGTTGGTAGCTCTTGCTTTGTTTTTTTTTTCTGTTTTTTTTTTTGTCGTTCTCTGCCGTCTCCCTTCTTTCTTGCAGGTGTGGTGGCTTTTATAGCCACCACCGAGGCTCTCGTCGGACCGGTTCCAGTGGAGATGGTGAGTCACCATAGCTATGTGGTGACTCACCCCATAGCCGTGACATGTGGGGAGCAGCTGGCCTTCTGGAGACTTCTGGCGAGGTCATCGTGGCACTGAAGCGTCGGCAAGGCGGCGGAACTCACTGGAACTTTGGAGCGGCGGCTGGGACGTGGCTATGTAGAAACTAGGGTTTAGAAACCCTAGCTGCATTGTTGGACCTCCTGTGGACCGTTGGATCTCTCAGATCCAACGGCTGTGATGATGAGGCGGCTAGAGATGAATGAAAACCCTAATTGGGTTTAGGGTTTGGGCTTGTAAAATGGGCCTGATTATTTGGGTTTGTAATAATTATTTAATAATAATATAATAATAATAATATAATAATAATATTTATAATAACAATAATTTTAATTTTAATAATAATAATTTAAGTAAAATGAAAAATTAGTGTTCACAGTGTGACGAGACAGGAAGCTTACAAAGACATGATCGAGGCTGCTTCCAAGGACCTGAACCGTGGTTATCTGAGGCTAACGCCTATCCCACGCCAAATCGTCAACCGAGTTCTTAACTGCCGACGCTTATGCGATACTTTCTACATGGATGATGTCGATGGGTATGGCAAACCAGAAGCATGCATCAAAGATGTCGTCACCAAAATGATCATTACCCTCTTATCAAAAGACATGTCTAATAGTACATATTTAATTTTGTATTTCTAAATGTTAATCCCCTTCGCTCTCTTGTTATGCTCACTTCACGACGGCCATGCGGCAGTTGAGGTTTGAGAAACTCGGGGAACTCAGAGCAGTTTGCACCATTAATCTATTGAGAGAGAGAGAGAGAGAAAAATAGATTGAACTCCCAACCATAAATCTTTCTAAACAAAATGGCAATGACCCCATTACAGCGACCGAAAACAAAGTGTCAATTTGAAAAGTATGAGGCGTGGATATTAATGGCATTAAGGTTTTAGATGGGAAAATATGGCGTCGGTCAGCTTTCATCCTCAGGTGGTGGTTAGGTTAAGACTCTTTGGAGTAATTAATCGCCGCAACTCAAATTATAAAAACTAACCACTCACATCACTCGCTTGTAAAATGGCCTATCTATAACAATAATTTGACCACCTCATCTTTTAATAAATATTGAACTGAATCAAATTAAACATTAATCAAATGATTTTGTTCGAAAGAATTTTATTAAAATGGCACGGACCAACTTACTTCAATAGTTAAAGGAATCGTTGTTGTTAGAGGTGTTCAAAATTCGGTTTTAACCGAATTAACCGACCGGACCGAATTAGTTCGGTTAATTCGGTCGGTCACCGAATTAGATCGGTCGGGAAACAATTAATGATTTTTTTAGAATTCGGTTAACGGTTAATTCGATTTAAAATCGGTTAATTAACTGAATTAACCGAATTAACCTTTAAATATAATTATATTAAGAGACTTAGCTGGCCCAATCCATTTAAAACCCAAATCAATATTAATTAATTAAAATAATCTCAATAATAAATGCAAAACATTTGAATCAAATTAATTAGCTATTATTTATAATTAGATATTATTTAAATTAATTGTAAATTATTATTTTTTAATTAAAAAATATTAAATTCTAAAATTCTAAAAAAATCGGTTAATCCGAAAATTAACTGAATTAACCAAAATTTATTCGGTTCGGTTAATACTTTCAAAAAAAAGTTCAATTCGGTTAATTCAGTTAAGGGTATTTCGGTTCGGTCGACCATCGTTTTAACTGAATGAACACCCTTAGTTGTTGTTCTCATAGGTCACGAATTTGAGCACCAACGACTGCAGCAGGGTGATTGAGCGTTCATCGTCAAATGATTGAGAGTATTTAGAATAGATACTATTTTTGTAATCACCTTAGTTTAATCAAACAAACAAATAAATAAATAAAATGTGTGCCTCGCAGATAAACTCCGCCACTATGCTCGCATTTTATTCTTCTTTATTCTCTTCAGATAGTTTTTTTTCCTCATGGAACTCACTAAAAATCGACGAAAATCCATCAAAAGATTCGACGTGTTAATACTTTAATCTCCTCTTATAGTCATCCAATAAGACTATTTTAAGGTATATTATTCGTTTTCTCAAAATTATGATTCTCATCTTTTAAATTTTTAAATAAACCCCTAAAAATGGTGAATTTTTATTTAATTTTTTAAGTTTTTAAAGGGTTTTTGTAATTTCATTGGTACTTAGGATACGTCAAAGAGTGACTAGTTTTTACGATAACTAAATATTGATCAAATAATAATAACTTTTACAATGAAATGACAAAGTGAAATAAGAAAAAACTAACTTTTTTTTGTCAGCACCAAACTATCATTTATCTTACTATTAATTTAATGATATTATCGAATTCACTATTAAAATTTAATGTTACAATTGTATTAATTTAAAATTTCAATGTTAAGTTTTTTCGGATTTCTTCAAATAAGGTCATATATATATATATATATTTGATAACGTAGGACCTCCCAAAGTCAGGCTAAAGAACCCGACCCTACAAAACAATCTCCGGAGGGGCTCAAAGAACCTACCACTCTGTCCCCCCACTTTTTTCAAAGATTCTCAACCAACGCGGTTCGAACCTAGGATATGAGACCAGCTCATAATCCCAAGAGCCCTTGCTTTGCCAACTGGGTCACGTCTTCGGTAAGGTTTTATATTTAGTTCCAATAAAGTAAATTTTATTTACATATTTATATCAAGATTGAAAAGTAAAAAATATTTTCACAAAATATCTTTATGGAACTGGAAATAAGAAATTATTTTCACAAATTATGATATGTTATATATGTATAAATCTTATTAAAAATATATTGAATGAAATGAAACAAATTTTCTCCTTTTTATATCTTTAAAAAGTTAAATAAAATTCTTTTCCGGAAACCACTAATAATTCTTAATTAATAACCTATTTTTCTTTTCTTGTATATTAATTGGGATTCACTCAACTGATACAGATAGATATTAATTAAAGTTTATTTAATTATCACCTTAAAAAAGTATTTATATTAAATGCTTTAATTGGGATTAAACTTAACAAAAATATATTATATCGATTAATTATTTTTCCTGTATATTAAGATTTTGTTTTCCGAAACAGTAGTCTCTGACTTTTTTTCTCCTTTAACGACTTTGTGTTGATATTTTTTCCCGGAAAAAAAGTTGATATTTTTTCCCTTTGAATTTCGTTATTATACAATTTAAAAGACTCAATACCATCAAATCTTTTACCCAGAAAACTTATAAATTTTCCATCGTTTTCTCGGGCTTCCTCTAGTTTTCAGATTAATTTGGCTGCATTTGATTACTGGGTTTCTCAAGTTGACTTGAAAGAATCCAAGTTTGTTTTTTCCGAAGCTGTTTCTTCTTCTTTGATCAAAACAGAGTGGGCTTGAGTTTTCTTCAAGTTCAAAGGAAAGTAAAACAAAAAGAAATCCTTTTTTTTTTGGATTGTTGTTTCGTTTTGCATGAACTGGGAGGAGTTGAATTAGACAAAGACTCGGTCGAATACAGAGCTATTTTATTTGTTCATTTATTTTCTCTCCCTCTTCTCTTTCCTTAGAATCACCAAACGTCTACAATTCTGGATTTCGATTTCTCTTCAGACACATATTTGATTTTTTTCTAACAAAATCTCGATATCTCTGTTTCTTGTTGGAAGTCATGATTTTTTACACTGGGTTAACTCGATCAAACCTCGAAAGCTTCCTCCATTGCACAACCCCAACAGTCAAATCCAAATTCCTTCCCAAGGTTAGCAAAAAAAGGGAGAAAAAGCATTGTTTTTTTATCATGTGTTCATACTCTGTTATTTTGATAATTGTTTGATGTTTTTTTTTCTGTTCTGCAGAGTGAAATTAGGAACCTTAATCGTTTATGGCATCCATGGGAGAGAGAAAACGTTGAATATTTCACATTATCTGACCTTTGGAGTTCTTATGATGAATGGAGTGCGTATGGTGCCGGTGTTCCGATCGTGTTGAACGACGACGAAAACTTGGTCCAGTACTATGTCCCTTATCTCTCCGCCATCCAAATCTTCACCAGCAATTCTCCGGTCAGGGAAGAGACGGATTCGCTCAGTGATTTGGGCAGCTACGAGAGCGAGAGCGACAAGTTATGGAGGTCGGACGGATGCTCGTCGGAGGACGGCGGGTCCGAGCAAGACAGCGTTTGGTATGTCAATAACAGATTGGGATGCCTTTACTTCGAGTATTTCGAGCGATCAACTCCGTATGGAAGAGTCCCTCTCACCGATAAGGTACTTCGAGCTATCGGTTTATCATAACCATCTTATGAAGAAGAAGAAAAAATGAAAGTTTTGATCTTTCAACATGAACAATTCTCCATTGCAGATTAAGGGATCATGTGGAAGATACCCAGGTTTGATGTCATTGAGGAGCGTTGATCTTTCTCCAGCCAGTTGGATGGCAGTTTCCTGGTATCTATCCTTCACCGTCAAATCTCGATCTTGTCATTATCCCCATTAAATAATTTAAATTATCTAAATTTTCTTATATTTTAAATATTTATTTTATATTTTTTATTGATAATTTATTTTCGTATTAATAACAGGTATCCGATTTATCACATTCCCATGGCGAGGAGCATAAAGGACTTGTCCACATGCTTCCTTACTTACCACACACTATCTTCTTCTTTCCAAGGTGGTTCTTTCAACCTCTCTCTTTTAGCTTTTTGCTTATGGTCGGTTTGGTGATAATGTTATATTTTGGGATCAGATATGGACCCAGACAACGACGACGTCGAGGGTGTGCGAAAGGAAGGCGATGGCATCTCGCTTCCGCCATTCGGGTTGGCCACTTACAAGATGCAAGGCGACGTGTGGGTTTCGGGAAATTGCGGGATGGACCGGGATAAGGTAGCGTCGCTCTTGAGCGTGGCGGATTCGTGGCTAAAGCAACTTAGGGTTCAGCACCATGACTTCAACTACTTCACGGGGACTCGACGCGGCTGAAGTTGTTATTGTCCCATGGAATTGACTTGTTTTATTTTATTTATATTTTTAAAAATATTTTTACAGGATTTCAGCGGGGAGCCCTGGGGGGGTATGAGTAGTGAGTTTAGGCTTATTTTTTGCAACTCTTTTAAGCCAGTTTACGTGCTTCACCGTTGGGCGTCGTCCAACAACTGTTGAGACCTTGTCGGATTGTATGATATCAAAACTCCGTCCTGACCAATATTAGACCACAGTTTCACAATTTATATAACTATTCCGATAGTACTGGTGAATCTAAAAATATTTTTCAGGATGGTGGGCACATATGTATTAACATAAAACTTTTAAATGGGATAACTACAAATAAAATTTCATTGTAGGTATAAAAAAATTCAGGATAGACACAATTAATAAAATTAATAACTAATAAAAAAAATTAAATTTCAAGATGAGTACGTACTTAAACTGTTGCTCTGGCACTCATTCCAATACTAAAATAATCTTATTATATAAATTTATATACCGTTTTCCTAAGATGGGTACAAGGAGTTTCTTGCAAGTCAAAAACATGAAGAAAGCAAAGCACATGGGTCCATAATTTCCAAGCTGTGTTAATGAAATGCCAATATTTTTACTTTATTCAGTATTATCCTCCTCCAAACACTCTACAGCCCACAAGTTCCTCTTTTATATATATGAAATTCAATTACAAATGACCGAAGGTGGTAAAAATTAAACTTTGAATTGTGAAATAAGATTGCCTTAACTTGGAATTTTAGGTGACTTGACTTAAAGTTTGGATTGAAGTCGATTGCAATTGACAGGCGGATTATACTGCTTTCGTTCACGCCAGGGCACGTTAATCGCCTCCTGGGAAATTTAGGGGATATTTAAACGGTGGATTTAATTTTTTTTTTTGTTTCCCTCCAGTTTCAAAGTTTAGTTTTGATTAATCTAGATTGATTCGGGTCATATACTTAATTTTGGTAGGTGAGTCTCCCATCGAAGATTTTATGCATTAACAAAGACTCGAACCTGAGACATTACTTTGTTCACAAACAACTAAGGCAATACCTTTCCTAAGAATATCCCACTGAAAATTAAGGCACCAAACCATTTGTTCGACTCAAACCTGTGAGAAAAAATATAATTTAATTTATCGGTGATGTTTAGATGATGTTAAATGTGTTTAAATATGGATTAAATACTTACTTTCGATTGCAATCCGTTGGGGATGAAAAATTAGCAGTTCCAATCTGCCAAGTTAATTGTGCAGCTGCTAAGAATGCGTAAAATGGCCACCCTCATCCCCAAAAAAGGAAAATCAATTGTGAACAAAACAATTGAACACAAAGTGTTTGTTGAAATGTCCAAACCAAAAGCAATGGCAAGTGATTAAATAGTACCTAATGCGGCATTGTATCCCGCGAGAGCAAAACTGGCAATGCCTGCAAATTCAAAGCCATTGGTCCACTCCTTGGTCGATTCACCGAACTTCAAGGCTGTTGATTTAATGCCCACTCTCAGATCATCTTCTTTGTCCTGACCAATTTCTACCAACATCAAGCACTAAGTATAACTGGCACAAAACTACTGATATATACATCTTTTGATGTTATCACCTGATGAGCATAGATGGTATCGTAGAGAATGGTCCAGAAGAAGCCAGAAAGGAAGAGTGGGAAGACGATAGATGGTTGCAAGCTTCCTTTAACTGCATGCCACCCGACTATAGGTCCCCAGTTCATGTTTAACCCTAAATAGGCTTGCGGCTGCACCATATCATATCATACCATCAACCCTAAGTGAACTTCTTTCATACATTACATATACATACATACATACATACCCAATATGTAATTCTCTTCATGAGAGGATATGTGGAAAGCAGGAAAATGTATAAAGCCTCGTACATCAAGCTGTAAACCAAAAAATACAAAAACTAATATTAGATCGAAATTTAAATAATTCAAAAGGATCAACCATAATATATATATATATATATATATATAATAGAATATTTTATTTTATTGACTAAAAATAATATATTATCAGGTATAGTTATGTTGATAAATTGAATGATTTGAATATAGAATATTAAAATACGAAAAGTAAATGAAAAGAATTTGAAGCAATCAGAGTGACCTATTGTAGGGGAGTTGGAGGAGAATTCCATGAAATAGAAGTAATTGAAAGGCTTAAATATAAAAAGGTGCCCAACCTATGTCTTTTTCCGGTTTAGTTACTAACATTTATTTCGTTTTAGTTTGGTGCTTAACGTTTCATTCCGTTACTCGTTTAGGTGCTCGGGTCGGCGTTAATTTTCTCGTTAAGTGACACGTGTCACAACCTGGCAATTTTAAAAATTTGACTAAAGGTTCACTTTTGCCTTCGAATGTTAAATTGATACGAAAATACGATAGGGGCAAAAGTGATAAATTGGGTCTACTATAGGGGCAAAAGTTACCTTTTTACCTAAAATTTTTATTTAAAATTAAAAAAATAAAATTATATATATTAAAAAGAAAAACAAAAATTTTAAAATAAACTTAAAACTTTGAAAACCTTCATTTCAACCCCTAAACCCATGCAGGACACCGCCTTTTGTCGTCAATGAAGCTCCACCTGACCTCCCCTTCCCTCGGTGACTAAAAGTCCCATAAAATCGTGATCAGTTGATGATCGATCTATGACGAATCAACGTTTTATACCCCATGAACTCTATGATGAAAATTGTGATCTCACTCGACTCCTACGGCCGATCGACCATTGATCAGTCACGATTTTCATAGGGGTTTTGGTCGCCGAGGGGAGGGGAGGTCAGATGGAGCTTCGTCGACTGCAAAAGGGACGATCAACGTTGGTTTAGGGGTTGAAATGAAGGTTTTCAAAGTTTTGGGTTTATTTCAAAAAGCGTGTTTCTTTTATTATATATATATATATATAATATATATATATATATATATATATATAATTTTTTTAATTTTAAATAATATTTTTAAAAGTACTAGATTGTGACACGTGTCACTTAAAGGCCAAACTTAACGGTCCGTCACAGCTTGACCCATTTTGAGTAATGAAATAAAACGTTAGGTATTAAACTAAAAAAAAAAAGCATAGATTGGGCACCATTGGTATATTTAAGCCTAATTGAAGCCAAAAAAGCAAAGTCCTTGATATGGTGTGACAGTGCCACTAGCAAGTGGTCTCAGTTTTGTACGCTCCACCTGCATATATATAACTATATATATATATACACCAACCGAAATTAAGTATGTTCATTGACAGAGAAGAAATTAGCAGATTATATTCAATATAAAATTACATGAAAAGTCAACAATGGACAATATAAATGGGACGGATAGAGAGTACTATTTAATAGCTAAGGTATGGAGTCTAATGGCCCTTTGTTCATACAAAATTAAGAGAAGACCCTTCCTAATAAAATCCCACTGAAAATTAGGGTACCAAACCATTTGTTGGACATGAACCTGCATCCACAAAAATTCGAATTTGTATCGGATGTAAATATTTTAAAACACAGAATAAATTATACATTTAGTATCTAAGTTATCAGTTTTGATCCGTTTTAGTACCTAAACTTTAATTTTTTTCAAAATTATACCTAATGTTTAGTTTTTGTTTCATTTTAGTACCTCAATACTAAAAATTTAATGTATTTAGTACCTAAACTATAAATTGTGGTATATTTTAGTACCTAAACTTTCATTTTTTTTAAAACTTGACGTTAAATTTTTAACAGTGAGAATAAAATGAAACAAAACTAAATTTTAGGTATATTTATGAAAAAGTTAAAAGTTTAGGTATTAAAATGGATCAAAACTAATAGTCTAGGTACTAAACACGAAATTTACCCTAAAATATATTTAAACAATTATACTCTAAAATTTATATTTGAATAAACTTTAGATACGTACTTCCTATTGCAATCCGGCGGGGATGACAGGTTAGCAGTCCCTATCTGCCAGGCTAATTGGGCAGCTGCAGCTGCTAAAAACGCATAAAATGGCCACCCTGCTCAAACAATCATGGGATTAGTTAATTGAACGTGTAAGTGTTTGTCGAAATGTCCCAATGAATTACCTAATGCAGCATTGTATCCAGTAAGAGCAAAACTGGCAATGCATGCAATTGCAAAGCCAGTAATCCACTCCTTGGTTGATTCACCGAATTTCAAGGCTGTTGATTTAATGCCGATTTTGACATCATCTTCTTTGTCCTGCCCGATACACAAACAACATGTTTTTGTATTTTGTTCTATATGACACTGAACGGAGCAGATAAAAATTATTGATATTGTTGGTGTTTGTTTACCTGGTGAGCATAAATGGTATCGTAGATAATAGTCCAGAAAAAACCAGAAAGGAAGAGTGGGAAGACGATAGATGGTTGCAAGCTTCCTTTAACAGCATGCCACCCGACTATAGCTCCCCAGTTCATGGTTAACCCTAAATAGGCTTGCGGCTGCACCATATCATATCATATCATCAACCCTATATGAACTTCTTTCAAACATCGCATATACATACATACATACATACCCAATATGTAATTCTCTTCGTGAGAGGATATGTGGAAAGCAGGAAAACGTATAAAGCCTCGTACATCAAGCTGTAAACAAAAAAAATACCAAAACCAATTAAGGTATTATCAAGTATAATTATGTTGATAAATTGAATGATTTGATTACAGAATATTAATAATATATGAACAGAAATTGAAGCAATCAAAGTGACCTATTGTAGGGGAGTTGGAGGAGAATTCCATGAAATAGAAGTAATTGAAACCCAAAAAAACAAAGTCCTTGAAATGGTGTGACAGTGCCACTAGCAAGTGGTCTCAGTTTTGTACGCTCCACCTGCATATATACATACACCAATCAAAATTAAAGATGTTCATTTATAGGGACGAAATTACCAGACTATTCAAAATAAAATTTCTTCTAAATTTATAGAGACGAAATTACCATTTTATCAAGATCACGATCTAAGAAATCATTAATGGTACAAGCAGCACCCCTCAAAAGTGGAGATGCACAAACAAGTACAGCTAAAGCCTTGAAATCAGGAAGGCTGCCAACCGTTGCTGCCAACGCAGCTGACCTATACGAACATAAACTTCAATTAAAACAATTGAAGAATATATACATGAACATCACCCATATTTTAAAAGTTTTCACACACGGTAAAAAAAACGACGTAAATGAAGTGCTACGTTAGTTACCATGTTAAGGGAAACATGAATAACCATGTGCCGATGGGCCTATCCAAACGAGCAAGCTTAGCGTAAGGCTGAGCTTCTTTCTGTAAGTGATCAACCCAGGATGAAACTTCAACTTCCTCATTTGTATGGTCATCTTTGCCTACCGAAGACCCCGTCGTCGACGTATAAGCGACTCGGGTTTCGTAATTCAAGTTTCGCGATGTCGACGAATGGATTCTCCGAGAAAACAAAGATGGATTCGTGAGCGGGGTGCCGAAAACAGGCCGGTGCTTCAACGTCCTTGATGTTGGGTGTGTAGAAAATAGAGAAGCAAGAAAGACCGAAAGGGAAGCCATTGTGTGTGTACTTGTTCCTTGATAAAGAAGACGCACACTTTGGTCAAGAGTGAAGTTCTACAAATGTTTGATGAGTGTATATATACGAGGTCTTTGGTTAACAAAAAGTTAGGGTAAATTACTCTTTTAATATCTAAACTATTAATTTTAGCCCATTTTAGTACCTAGATTTTCAAAAAAAAATTCAAAATCATACATAATGTTTAGTTTTTGTTTCATTTTAGTATCTGCTGTTAAAAACTTAATGCGTTAAATACCTAAACTATCAGTTTTGATTCGTTTTAATACCTAAACTTTCAATTTTTTCAAAACTTAACGTTAAGTTTTGAACTGGGATAATAAAATGAATCAAAAACTAAATTTTATGTATGATTTTAAAAAAATAAAAATCTAAGTATAAGAATGAACCAAAAATTATAGTTTAGATATTAAACGCGTAGTTTACCCAAAAGGTTTTGAACATAACATATATTTAATAGCCGTCATCGGTGGCTGTGGACTGTGTTTGAATAAGAGAACAAGTAGGAGTTGTGTCAAATTAATTAATACCACTTGTGCAACTTCATTATTATTGCAATATTAATTAAAAAAAAATACTTCCCAGGTAATGCTTCCATGCCGACAGGGTAAGCGTTTAAAAATGTTTGAACTTTGTCTACTGATATACACGTGAAAATATTCCTTTGAATATACAGTGGTTGCGGTCTGTTTTGAATATACAGTGGTTTAATATAAAAATTGAGTATTTAAATTATACTGTTTTTCTGTGTAGATGTTTAAATTATATTTTGAATAATTTACAAACGTTATCATTTTAAATGTTTGGATCATAACGACATTAAAAAATTTCGTTAAGTGAGACACGTCACATTCCGATAATTTAGAAAAATATATTTAAAATAAAAATTTAAAAATATATTTTTAAAAGAAAACTCAATTTTTTGAAAAACTTTAAAGAAAACCCAATACTTTAAAATTATTTATTCTAGAATGGAAGTGATGGATGTTGAAAAATGCTAAGCATCCAAGGGTGACAGCTCGTATAATTAAAGGTGGTCAAAACGGTTAATGAATCAAATCTACCACCCTTCGTATAATACCATATGATATATACCCTAGGGCTAGGGATGGTTGGAGGTGTGGGATAATCATACTCAAATTTTTTAAGTTTAAATTTACCTCCTAAAATTTTAAAAATTTAAATTCATCCTGTTAATATAAAATTCTAAGCTCTTCCTTGCCTAAGCCGCTTAGGAGTGTCTCATCATTTCGAAAATGAAATGAAATAGAAAAGCAATTAGGTCACCATTTTTGGTGAAGTCGTTGATCATAAGGAGGACCATCCATGATTTACACACAATTGAAGCCATTTTTAGATTCCACGGTTATAACATGTCTTCGGGTAAGTGCACAAGGTTCTTAACCTTGGGGTCGTGGGATCGAGTCTCACGGAAGGCATTTCATAATTCGGAGGTCTCCTACGGAAGCTGTTCTCAACTTGGCGTTGGGGGCAGCCTACTATCCTACCTCCCCCTTACCCCATTACATATGGGAATAAGGGTCAGCTAATTTTTATGCAATACTATGCAGCTATTGAAACCTTTTAGTAGTTAAGTGAAAGAACTTGGTGTTAAAGTTTAGAGGGCCCAACTTAAAACTTTAAAATATTTGGAAGTTTAAATTAAAATTTTCAAAATTTTTGAAGGGTTTAATTTATATATTTTGGAAAATATTAGGCTCTAACTAAAATTTTTGAAATTTTGAGAGGTTTAATAAGAATTGTTTTTAAATTATGGGAGGAGATCTAATTAAGAACATTAAGAAATTAAACCTTAATCTGAGTTTTTAAAAATTTTAGGGGGACAAATTATTTTTTTTAAATTTAAGGGGTCTAAATTATAATTTTTTTAATTTTGGGGGACATGGCCACACTGGCACTGCTTATGTTCCGCCACTGCATGACCCGTTATTCCGATTGAAAAAAGTCATACATTAATAATTTATATTATCTGACATGCCATGATTTATTAATAATTAATTTTTTATTATCAAGAATCACCATAACATTAACCAATAATAATAAATAGAATTCATAATGATAAAAAATCAACATGGTCTAGTGCCTAATGATAAAAAATCAACATGGTCTAATGCCTAGTAGGATGAAGCATTGGATTTTTTAGACGAGATTAAAAGTTAGAATCCTAGTATTTGTATATGGAGTAAATTACGTTGGGAGGGTTAACTCATATTGGGCCTCCGCTAAAATCGATCTTGATTTGTTGGTCAATAAATCATAATATATATAAACAGACCAAACTTGTATTTATTATAAATTGAACTAATATTTTTTTCAATTTTCTTGAAGTATAAGAACCAAATTCTGATAAACTAAAGTAGAGAGATTAAATTACACAATAAAATTCATGAATTAATATTTTGATTCTCAAATAGATTTTATTGTAATATTATAGCAAACCCTATATTTAAATAATTATATTTTAAAATTTAATTTTTAAAAATATATTTAAATAATTATACTTTAAAATTTAAGGTAAATTACATGTTTAGTACTAAAACTATCAGTTTTGGTTTGTTTTAGTACCTAAACTTTCAATTTTTTTAAACCATATTTAACATTTAATTTTTGTTTCATATTAGTACATCGTTGTTAAAAATTTAATAAAATTGTATTTATGGGTAAATTATACAATTCATCACTCCTATTTTGGTACTAAAGTTTAAAAAATTTCAATTTAACTACTCAACTTTCAAATTGCTCCTATTTTAATCAGCCTATTTTATTTTATTAACAATTTTTGTTACATGACATTTTTTTATTATTTTATTAATATATAATAAAAAAATAAAAAAATATAATAAAAAAATAAAAAAATTTGAAAGTTAGAGTGATTGAATTAGGAGTAATTTGAAAATTAAGTAATTAAATTAAAAATTTAAACTTTAGTGACCAAAATAGGAGTTAGAATACAATTGAGTGATGGATTATGCAATTTATCCCTAAAAAAGTGCCACCCGTTTAGTTTTTAATGGTGAGGTACTAAAACGAAATAAAAACTAAACGTTAGGTATGATTTTGGAAAAATTAAAAGTTTAGGTACTGAAATTAATAGTTTAGCTACTGAATGCGTAATTTACCCTAAAATTTTATATTTAAATAAACGTTAGATACATACTTCCGATTGCAATCCGCTGGAGATGAATGGTTAGCAGTCCCTATCTGCCAGGCTAATTGGGCAGATGCAGCTGCTAAAAACGCATAAAATGGCCACCCTGCTCAAACAATCATGGGATTAGTTAATTAAACATGTAAGTGTTTGTCGAAATGTCCCAATGAATTACCTAATGCAGCATTGTATCCAGTAAGAGCAAAACTGGCAATGCATGCAATTGCAAAGCCAGTAATCCACTCCTTGGTTGATTCGCCGAATTTCAAGGCTGTTGATTTAATGTCAATTTTGACATCATCTTCTTTGTCCTGCCCGATACACAAACAATATGTTTTTGTTCTATATGACACTGAACGCAGCAGATAAAATTATTGATATTGTTTGTGTTTGTTTACCTGGTGAACATAAATGGTATCGTAGATAATAGTCCAGAAGAAGCCAGAAAGGAAGAGTGGGAAGACGATAGATGGTTGCAAGTTTCCTTTAACTGCATGCCACCCGACTATAGCTCCCCATTTTATGGTTAATCCTAAATAGGCTTGCGGATGCATAATCATCATCAATTAGTGAAACCATGTCGGCCGTATTTGTTTTTATTTAATCATTTGAGTGTTAAATCGTAAATAGAAGGATGACCTGACAATCATATGTAATTTGGACTTGTTTTTATTGAAATAGAATCCATGTGCCATTCACATCATTTTTACTTTTTCTCCTTTTGATACAATTTCATCTCTATGTTACGTTGATGTTGTAATTATCATTCTATGACGTCTTCATTTATCACTTAAGATATCAATAAACTCATACCATTGTTTCTTATCACTCTATAAATTTCGATTTTACCTAAATTACTTTAAAACTCATAAAAACTCAACCCTAAACCTTGAACGCATGAAACCCTAACCACTTTGAGTTATAATATTCACATTTTGCTCAATGTGAAATCAATATATACTACTCATTTCCTCTTTTTCTACTTCTCTATTGTTGGGGTTTGGAAAAAACATTATTTATCATTGAAAAATCAAAAAGAATTCGAAATTAGATTTTTTTCAAAAAATTAATTTTAAAAGAAAATTTTCCCGTCATAATGGCATCAAGTATTTAATGACAAAAATTCTGTGAGTAAATCAAAATAAGAACGAGAAGAAAATTTGAGCGGTAAAAATTTAGAATTTATCCTTTATATAATCACTAATCATTACCCAATATGTCATTCTCTTCATGAGAGGATAGGTACAAATGAGGAAGAGGTATAAAGCCTCGTACATCAAGCTGTAAACGGTGTGACAGCGCCGCTTGCCATCGGTCTCGATTTTGTACGCTCCACCTGCAACAAAAAGCAAAGATGTTCACATAAATTCTTTGTAGGTTTGGTTTTTTTTAATGTTTTAATCATTTTAATTCAGGTATAAAGAAGAAATTACCAGTTTTTCAAAGTAACGATCAAGGAAATCATTAATGGTACAAGCAGCACCCCTCAAAAGTGGACATGCACAAGCAAATACAGCTAAAGTCTTGTGATCAGGGAGGCTTCCGATGGATGCCGCCAACGTAGCCGATCTATACGTATACAAAATTATAATCAAGAAACTGATATATATATATATATATATATATATATATATATACACATGATTCCACGTAAATGAAGTGTTAATTGGTTACCATGCAAACGGAAAAAGCAGTAGCCATGTACCGATAGGCTTCTCCACACGAGCAAGCTTAGCGTAAGGCTGAATTTCTTGGGGTAAGTACTCAACCCACGGTGAAACTTTAACAACGTCCTCATTCGGACGCACGTTGATTAGCTTTCGGTCACCTTTGCCGCCTACCGGAGACGGAGACGTGGTTGTCGACATGCTAGCAACTCGGGTTTTGTAACTCGAGGACCGGCATGTCGACCAATCAATCTTCCGAGAAAATAAAGATGGATTCGCGAATGGGATGTTGAGGATAGGGTGATGCTTCAACATCCTCGTTGTTGGGTGTGTAGAAACGAGAGAAGCACCAGAGACCGAAATGGAAGCCATTGTGTGTTTTTTGTTCCTTGATCACAAAGATGTATACTTTCGTCAAGACTGAGTGCTACGAATTTTTTTATGAGTCAATGAGTGTGTGTGTATGTGTGTGAAGAGGGAGAGGAAATTTAAATCCAAACCTAAAAGAAGAATGTTATTGGTCAAAATTTCTACTTTTTACTTGGCATCGGTATAAGGTGTGGAAAAAATTGGTGTATGATTGAACGTGTGGAAAAAGTACTGATCTATGATATATTTAATTTTTTTATAGAAGTAATTAATTTTATTCAAAATAAAAAATATATCAAATTATAATAAAAATTTACAATCACAATCATAAATTAAACACATAATTAAGAAATTTTATATAATTATTGAAACAAAACTAGTAACTTAAGATCACATAAGGACCATACAAGGAAATATTAAATCTAATCAAGAAACTCGAACAAAGATATATACAAACAGATATGATCTCATCGGTAAACGAACCACAAAAGGAGATCAAGCTATTGACAGATCACTGACAAACAGCAAATCAGACTCGAGCGACGTGAAAAACTATCTACGAACACAAATCGGGTATCCAAATTTAATATGAGGGTCCAAAGCAGAGAAGATCACAAGATATTAGATAAGCGACATCTTAATCATCGTGACGATATCAAATCAATTTTTAGGAAAAGAGTAAATAAAAAATGGTCAAAAAACCGAAAAGCCCAAAAAACATAAGAAAACATGTCATAAGGAAAATGAAAAATGTGCAACACATGCAAACTTGTTGAAAATAAAAAAGAAAAAGAAAATAAAGAATATCGGAGGTCGACAATCGATGTTAAAATTAATGTCACAACCGATTAATAAAAACAAAAAAAAAAGAGATGATAAGTACACCAATGAGAGAAAACTAGGTTTTTAGAACTAGACTTTTCTTATATTCACTTTTAATATAATACAAAAATTTTAATTTATTTATTATTATTATAAGATTTGAAGTACGAAAAATATCATTCATTATTAAATTTAACTATTAGTTAGCTAAATAATTTCTAGAATAAGTGGTTAAAAGTTAGAACGTGTGTTCAATTAGGGGTGCTTATCGAGCGAGTCAATTGCGAGTTGGGTATTGCTCGACTCTTGTTCGTTAAAAATTTTTGCTGCTCGACTCGTTAAGCTCGTTAAAATTGTCTCGACTCGTGCTCGTTAAAAAATTTGCTGCTCAACTCGTTGCTCGTTAAGTTCACTAAAAAATTTACCTTATTTTTTTAACTAAAAATAAAATTTACTAATATTATATGAGGATATTAGGGTTGATTTTTATTGGTATTAAAATAATATTGTTAATTAATAATATTTTATTATTTATTAAAAAATAATAGATTAGTTAACTTATTATTTTTTTATTATTTATTAATAAATTAATAATTATTATTTAGATTTATTTTTTGAATGAAATAGTTTTGAAGTAATTACTAAAATTATATTTTTAAAAAATTAATCAGTTACTCGTCAACTTATTAAATTGAGTTAGACTTTGCTTGGTTCATCTCGTTAAGGCCTCGAGTCGAATTCGAGTTCGAGTCGAGCTAACTCGAGTTGAGCGTTTATCGAGTTTTAACCGAGTCGAATTCGAGCTGCTTACGAGCTGCTCAACTCGTTAAGCACCTCTAAGTTCAATATTTATTATGAGCAAAATTCTCATTATTCTTCCCTAATCAGCAAATGTTTAAAAAAAAAGTGTAAGTTAGTCCATAGTAAAAAGAAAGTGTTTGGTCAAATATATATTTCTAGTATGCTTAATAGCGGTCTGCAAAGGCAACCAATTCTGTGGAAAACATAACTACAGTTGCTTAGGAACATGACTTTGAATAGGAGCACATACCATGTCTCATCATTTAGGTTAATATCACTGAAAGTTCAAGTATTATCGGATAAAATGTGTATAATACTTTAAGCTTTTTCTTAAGTTAATAATTATAAGCTATTCTTTCATAATTCTACATGGCACCGTTCCAAATTAAAATTGATTCAAAGCTTGATTCTTAAAAATATTTCTGTTTTTTCTTATTATAAAATTATTGTTTCTTAATTCTATGATTTGGACTAGGGCTATAAATGAGACGGGACAGATCGTGAGCTTCTTAAGATCGATTCAGTCAAAGCTCAATAAATACTCGACTCGAGTTCTTAACGATCATAAACAAGTTATTTGATACTCGACTAGAAAAGCTCTTGAGCATCTCAAAAATATAATATATTAAGTTTTTATTTTTTTAAAAAAATTATAAGATTTTCATGTATTTAAAGTTTATATTCGAGTTCGAGTTTGAGGCTTTAATCGAGTTAAGTTTAATTTTATTCATTTTGAGCTTTTTCACACTTCTAGCTTAAGTTCATGGTTTCGAGTTCGAGTCAAGTTTGAAAATTTTAGGCTTGCGAATTTTCGAGTCGAGTCTAGCTCGATTCGAGTAGTTTACAACCCTAATTTGGACCACTTACAATTTTAATATATTTATATATATATACCTACATTTCATAAATGCGTAAACTTACGTGTACACGTGGTATTGGATACTATTCTCATACAAAAAGAAGGTGACTATATTTTAGCAAAAAACTTGGGTGCACAGTCAATAATGGTGTGGGGGGGAAAATCAACAAATTCTGTGGAAAAAATAATCCAAATTATATTATATATAAACTGCATTGATTTTAAATAATGGTGACAATATTTTATATTATCTACGTTTACAGGATGCGTGCACATTTTCGATGACTAAAAATGATTTTAAATATATACGACATTGTAATCATTCCAAACTATATATATATATATATATATATAACTGCAGATAGCCAGGCTTATCAATTGGTATGAGGATGATCGATTTCTCGACCATCTCTACTTGAAGGATTCAATATGCTTACTGAAAAACTTTCATCAGAGCACATATCAAAACCATAAATGAGAAAACTGGAAGCTCCAATGAACCAAATATATAAATATATATATATATAGAGAGAGAGAGATACAGTTGGGCAGATCAGATGATTCAGGTTTAACAAGACTGGTTTCAGACAAGCACTGTGAAATTTACAAAGCCGCCAACTGGAGCAGCGTCTGAAAGCTACAACGTATTGATATTGCTTCGAGTACCTACCACGGCGTCTTATCCATATCTCGTAATATACCTAGAGTCGACCGGGTGCCTTCGTAGCCTCGACGATGTGAGCCTCTGCTCGGGTAAGAACGAATTGGCTTTTTTGGTGGCTTAGTAGTGTTGACAGCAGAGCTACTTGTATAAGAGGTTGTACGCTGGTAAATCTTGTATTCTATGTACATCGTCCAAAGACAGTTCTCTCTGCAGTTGCGTGCGTGTTACTTGTAAAACCTCCTGCACGAACGAAAATTCTCGATATGACGAAGTTTGCCTATATGTGAATGTGAGAGAGAGAGAGGCAAGAAGTACATTAAACTCCATGTAGGAAGCATGCATAGCAAGCCACTGAGCATCCATCAATTCGAAAGCTACACAATATAGTATATCGAAGGCTTCTTCATCTTCTGCAAAATTCCAAACATTCAAGATCGTGAGACCGAATACCGAGGACCGGCAAAACAAGTCGGTTTCATAGTTCCAACCACTCTTGAACATAAAGCACTCAAATCCTCGTTTCCATTACCTCCTAATAGTTTCATGAAATTGTATCCTGGTAGATTTTTTGGTGTTTCTGCAAAAAGAGGGGCAGAGTGTTAGACATAGCTGAGTTGTGTTGCTCGTTTGGTTGTAACTGAAGTAGTTAGTAGTTGAGGTTAGTAAAGTTGTTAGGCAGTTCTGTTAGTTTAGTTAGTAGCAGTTATTGTAGTTCTGCAAGCTGTATAAGAACGGTATACAGAGTCATGTAAATTGAGCTTGTGTATTCTTTGTTAATTCATGAAATATGATGACATTCCAACATGGTATCAATCGCCGGAGATCCTGGTGACCTTTTATTGAATGTTCCGATCTGATCATGCCACTTAGTGAAGTGGTTTCCTTTCCCTCCAGCAGAATCAAGATGTTTACGAATAAAAAGATCAACCTAGTGCTCGATGAAGTGAACTTCTTGCTATGGAAACAACAAGTATTACTTACCGTTCGTAGTCATTGACTTGAACGACTGCTCACTGGTGCGTTGAAGCCTCCCCCTGAGATGGTGGCTGATGAAAACGGTGCGATGGTCCCAAATGAAGAATACGAGGATTTTGTGGCCCAAGACAACGCATTGGCTTCTTGGCTATTGTCAACGATTAGCAACCATTTACTATCTCAGTTTGTTGGAGCAGAGACTGCTTATGCAGTGTGGAATACCGTTTTACAATTTTTTGCTACAAGATCATCAACAACAGTGATGAATCTGCATTACAAATTACAGTCTCTCAAGAAAGGTGAAGAGAGTATGCGGGTGTATTTGTCACGAGTTAAAGAAACTTGTGATGCTTTGGCATCGTGTGGTAGTGTCGTTCCCATTGTTGGTCAGGTGGCAAGCATTCTAAAACGCTTACCTAGGGAACACCAACCCTTCATGGCAGTGATCACCACCAGTGAAGAATCTGTCTCTAGAAAAAGTGTCTACGATTCTTATTGATGCTGAAACTCAATTAGCAGGATTCACTGCTCAAGAAGAGGTAGTGCTGGCAAGCGCAAATGTTGCTCGTGGTTTTGAGGCTACAAGGGATGGTTCTAATACATATTCGCATTATCATCGATCGCATCAGCCTTCATATTCTGGTGGAAGATCTAATGGCAGGAGTGGTCGTGGACATGGAAGGTCTCGAATTCAATGTCAGTTATGTGGAAAACCAGGCCATCTTGTTGATCGATACTGACATCGATATGATGAGAACTTCCAGATTGTGTCATCTAATGCAAGTCAGTTACAGTCTTCAACTGATTCAGCCAGGGCTAATACTGCATCTTATGACAATGTTGCCTGTGAATGTTGTTCAAATAAGTCTCGATCTCAGTTGATGACAGAGGGGGCTTCTCATGATCACATGGCTTCGACAACTATTCAAGATGATTGGGTAGTTGATTCGGGTGCCACTCATCATGTGACACCAAAGGCAGGTAATATCACTAATCGGGTAGAGCATGGTGGTCCAGGTAAGCTAATGGTTGGTGATGGTCTTTCTTTACGCGTTAATATAACTGGTGATGCTACGTTAGAAACATCAACTAGGTCATTATTGTTGAATGGTTTGCTTCATGTACCTCAAATAACGCAAAATCTTCTCTCGGTGTCTAAGTTTGCTAGGGACAATAGAGTGTTCTTTGAATTCCATGCTCAGGGATGTTGTGTGTGTGATGTTGCTACTAAGGACATTCTGCTGCGTGGCCGTGTTCAGGATGGCTTGTATGTTTTCTCAGGAGATCGAGTTGCAGGTGCTTGTCAAAATGCTGCTGCCCATATTGTTGTTGCTGTAAATAGCTTAGAACTCTAGCATCGTCGATTAGGACATGCAACGTATAATATTGTTGCTCGTGTTTGTAAAACACTTGATGTATTACTTTCTAAAGATATGAATAACATGTGTGAAGCATGCTGTATTGGAAAAAGTCATAAACTGTCGTTTCTTGATTCTACTACTGTTTACACTGCACCATTTCAACTTGTGTTTACTGATATTTGGGGACCAGCACATGTGTTGTCAAATGGTTATCGTTATTACTTATCTTTTGTTGATGCATATTCAAGGCATTCTTGGGTATACTTCCTAAAGGATCAGTCACAAGCTGTGGTTGTTTTTAGACAGTTTCAAAAAATGGTATTGACTCAGTTTGGTGTGACTATCAAAGCTGTCCAAAGTGATTAGGGTGGTGAGTATAGGAGCCTCTCGTCCATTTTAGCTAAGGAAGGTGTTCTTCATCGTGTAGCTTGCCCTCATACCTCTGAGCAGAATGGAGTAGTTGAGAGGAAGCACATACATATTGTGGAATTAGCCTTGGTACTTCTTGCTCAAACTAGAATGCCACTGCGTTTCTGGAACTATGTTGCTGTTACCGCTGTGTACATCATCAATAGGTTGCCAACGAAAGTTCTGGATGGTGTGTCTCCTCTTGAGAAGTTTTGGGGAAAGAAGCCAGAGTATGAGCTAATGAGAGTGTTTGGGTGCAGGTGCTACCCTCACTTGAGGATGTTTCATAAACACAAGTTGAATTTCAGGTCATAGTCATGCATATTTTTGGGGTACAACCCGCAACACAAAGGATACATGTGCCTTGCTGCTGATGGAAAAATTTACATATCCAGGCATGTAATTTTTGATGAGGCTATTTTTCCATTCATGAGTTTCTGTTTCTACTGTAACACCTATTACTGCGAGTTAGAAGTTAAGCACACTTGAGCTTGTTGCTGATATTGGCAGATTAGGAATTGGTGGTGCTACGGTAAGTATTCAATTGGGAACTGCCACTTCGAGGGAAGATGTAGCACATGAAGATACAACTGGGCTAGCTGAGAATGAAGTTTCTCGTGTAAATTGTGAGGGTGGTTAGAATGGTGAAGCTGACAGTGATGGTGTTGAGGAATGTGGTGATGAGCTAACTATGCATGGTGAGTCTGATGCAGAGGCAAGTAGAGCTACTGAGAGTGTCATAAATCATCATCATATGCTCACGAGAAGCAAATGTGGCGTTTTCAAGCCTAGAGTATTTTCTGTTGTTAGTGACTCAATGGAGCCAGTTAATGTACATGAGGCTCTTCGATCACCACGTTGGAGGAATGATGTGCATACAGAACTTGAAGCCTTGAAGGCGAATGACACTTAGTCATTGGTTCCACTGCCTGAAGGAAGGTCTGTGGTAGGTTGCAAGTGGTTGTTCAAGGTAAAGAAAAATCCAGATGGGTCTATTAGTCGATACAAAGCTCGACTTGTAGCAAGGGGATATTCCCAGGTGCCAGGCTATGACTTTAATGAAACCTTTAGCCCTGTTGTCAAATTTGCTACACTTAATATAATATTGTCTTTGGCTGTAACAAGGGGCTGGCAGCTACGGCAGGTTGATATCAACAATGCTTTTCTGCATGGGGATTTGCATGAAGAGATATTTATGCAGCAGCCACCCGGGTTTGAGCAAGTGGCTGCTGATGGCATTATACTGGTATGCAAGCTTCAAAAGGCACTGTATGGCCTGAAACAAGCCCCGCGTAGCTGGCATACAAAGTTGAAGGAATGTTTGTTGCAAATCGGTTTTAAAGAATCCAAGGCAGACACATCACTTTTTATACGATGTGTTCAAGGGATGTGTGTATACATGTTAGTCTATGTCGATGACATAGTGGTAACAGGCGAGTCAAGTGCTCAGATTGAAGAGGTTGTTAGGTTGTTGAGTAATAAGTTTGCTCTAAAGGACCTTGGAGAACTCAGTGTTTTTTCTTGGTATTGAGGTTAAACGATGTGGTGAAACTTTGATTCTTAGTCAACGCAAGTTTATATTAGAATTGTTAATGAAAACTAAGATGCAAGATGCGGGTGCTGTAGCTACACCTATGCTGGTTACATCAAAGCTTGCACAGGATGCTGGTGAATTGTTAACTAGTGCATATGAATATCGTAGTGTGGTAGGTGCGCTATTGTATGCTTGCCATACACATCCGGATATTTCGTTTAGTGTTAATAAGGATATTTCGTTTAGTGTTAATAAGGTGGCACAATATATGCATGAGCCTGGACATGAGCACTTTGTGGCTGTTAAGCGGATTTTAAGATACTTGGTAGGTACGCTTAACCATGGACTCGTCATAGCACCAGCAGTTGCAGGACTTCATGTTGTAGCTTTTGTGGATGTCAATTGGGGTGGCAATACTGAAGATAGAAAGTCTATCACAGGCAATTGTATCTTTGTTGGTGATAATTTAGTTATGTGGAGTTCCAAGAAGCAAAAATATGTGTCTCGGTCCACCATGGAGACTGAATATAGGAGTGTTGCAGATGCTACTGCTGAAACAACATGGGTTAGTGCACTGCTTGCAGACATGGGGGTTCAGCAGCCGAGGACTCCAGTGGTTTGGTGTGACAATAACAGTGTTGTTGCCATAACATCAAATCCAGTGTACCATGCCAAGACAAAGCACGTGGAACTTGATGTTCACTTTGTAAGAGAAAAGGTTGCAGCTAAGCAAGTATTGATAAACTATGTGCCTGTTAGTCATCAAATAGCTGATGGTCTCACCAAGCCTTTGCCAACTGCACAGTTTGAGATGTTTCGGGCAAAGCTTAATGTTCAGTCGTTCCTTGGGGGAGAGAAAAAAAAAGTAGGGTGAATGTTAGACATAGCTGAGTTGTGTTGCTCGTTTGGTTGTAACTGAAATAGTTAGTAGTTGAGGTTAGTAAAGTTGTTAGGCAGTTCTGTTAGTTTAGTTAGTAGCAGTTATTGTAGTTCTGCAAGCTGTATAAGAACGGTATACAGAGTCATGTAAATTGAGCTTGTGTATTCTTTGTTAATTCATGAAATATGATGACATTCCAACACAGAGGATCCGATCAACGAAAATGTCTGCATTCTAAGTTTCTAACTTGTCAGACCCTCGAAACCTAGCAGAACATCCCGAAACATGCACTATCGACTTCCATGAAAATATCATGATGAAGATTGTCCGAACAATGGACAGACCACTATATCTACAAGAGACATAAATCCAACGAACCTGAATATAAATCCAACATCTGAATCAACATAAAAGATACATTGATACCAGCAACAGCGAATGGGTATTCCCAAGTGGCTCTGTTTCCATCTTGCTTAAATAATAACCTATAAAAAGATGCCTTCATTTTGTATTTTTATATAATTAGTAAACAACACAATTTTCTTGCAAAATAGAGACACAAAAGAAAAGACCAAAAAAGAAAGAGAGGGCTTACCGGATAATTTTTGCCAAAGTACAGCAAATTTTCGAGTGAAATAAAACCGCAACCCCTGAGGTGAGAAGTTCGATTTTAGACAAATAAAATTACGGTATGCTATTTGTTACACATCATTTTCAAGTCTCCTAGATACCTCTATGTACAGATGGCAAGTTAAAAAGTCGTGAAACAAAAATGAAAGAAGCATACCGAAAATCGGTTGATGGATTAACACCTTGCCACCCCATCTCTTTCCACTGTTCAGAGATCAAGCCTGTTAGAACAACATTGGGAAAGGCGATGTTCCACAATTTTATGAGCGCTTTCTGTGACACCAAAGGATCATGAGGTCAATTGTGTTCTAATTTTATATGGCATTTCAGCTTTCTGTATAACCATGTCTGTCATAGTTAGAAAAGATAGAAAACTATATGGATGTTAAAAGAATGAAGAAAGTGCCTGATGGTCTGGATGAGTCTCGTCAAAGGGTACGTGCAGTCGTTCTTGAAGCCTTCGAAGTCTTTGTTGCTGATCAGAATTAGAAAAACAAAATTATATCAATTTTATTATCACTGAGGCTGAGAATGGAGTGAAGATGTTTATATGTACATGTAATATATATATGTAAATACATACATATATGATATATCAATACAAATCACCCTAACAAAAGCAATACCATAGTTCTGAATCAATTTTTCATTAGTGCACACAAATTCTCTCGGCACATCACAAGACTGAATACCCAAGAAACGATGGCAAAACCAGTTCAGTTCTACTCAAGCAAGTCCGATTTTCTATCGTAAACCGCAGGGAATTGGTTACATGAATCAAAGCATTCACCATCTTGTAAAAGAGTACATAAGTCTTAATCAGTCCTAACTTCACATTGTCAATTACCTGAATAGGATTCAAAGTGTAGTCAAGAAACTTCTCAGTGCGCTTGACGAAGCGATTGAAGAGCCCTCCTATCCATGATCGTGGTCCAACCATAGCATTAGCTACAACCAGACGAGGCTGATCAGAGATATTAAACAATGAGTTGTAAATTGAATGCCGAAAGCTAAGACCATCCTAATTGGGAATGCTGAAAGAATTTATCAAGAAAATGTGCTCACTAAAACATTGAGCTAACTGTGATATGAGGTTAGTGGAATTGTATGGCCATTCCAACTCTCGACCACCCTTCTTTCGTCTCCGGTAAGCTTCATCCTCTTCAACCTACATTTCAAGCAAACCATTCAATACCAATTAGCTGCGGAACTCAAGGACTGTTTTCACATGGTTGGTTTCAAAATTTGGAAGCTAAACTTTGTAATTAAGCTCTTAGCTATTCATTATATAATGTAATTGCATTCACTCTGACAAATGAAGAGAACAAGAGACATAATTATTCAATGCAGAAATGAAATAATTTTCCATGATTAAGAGGCAAGCATGATTAAGATCAATAACAAAAACAGATTAAGCTAACAGATGTGTAATTAATACACTTGTAATTACTCTGTGAAGAGAAGAGCAAGAAGGAAAGCACTGGCGACGCTTCCTTAATCTCATGAGAGAATCATGAACAAAAGGATTAGATTTTTTACATTCCTTTTAACCAAAGGAAAAATGGGTAACAAATGATTGCAGTAAGCTCATGCGCCTCCATCCAATTCAACCCTTGTCATCATTAGAGATAGGGCGAATGAATATAATAATGACACAAACACAAAGTTTCCCAGGAAAAAAAATGAAAAAGATGAATCATTTTTCATCTTAAGAGCGCAATCAAAGGTCACTTTTTGCTGTAAGGAACTTTATTTGCACCCCAAAAGAACAAAGCTTTGCAATTGGTTATGCAAAAAGTCATAAAAGGTAATACCCTTTTGTCTGGTTCAACAACGATATGAAATGCAATACACAAACTGAATAACACCCCCCACAAAAGGGTAAAAAAGAAACCCTTTTTTTTTACCTCGAAAGAGATTACCTGTTATTTCATGTGTTGAGAACAAAATCGGGAGATGGTTTGGTTGAGGAGAAGGGCCCGATTGCCTGAGAGGCAAAGGAGACGAAGAAGAGAAGGGGAATGGCAGCATGTTATGCCGTTGTTAGAAGGAATTTTGATACATTATCATAGGAAAGATGCATGTATTATTGTTTATCTCCTCTATCTGCCACGAAGTTCCCTGATGATTTGCCGTCATCGTAGCAATCGGTTCGGGTGTTTTATATTTTTTTATGTCAACACGAACACATAATTTTATATTAAATATTAAAATTTTAAAACTTTAAATGATGAATTTAATAATAACGATACATTCAATCATTTGATAATAATTATACTGTCAATCATTTGATAACAACATATGAAACATAAAATTTGGAAAGCAATAGTTTAAGATCCATTGAGCAAATTACAATTATAGCTCTTAATATAATTAATACTTATTTCTGTCTCGATCCCATCGATCTGATCTTATAGTTATTTTTTATGCAGAATTTAACACAAGTCTATTATAGTCCATTACCCTATAAATCGAGCTCTAACCTACCATTATAATTAATTTATAGCCTTTCTAGAAGTACAGTGTAACGTTTAATTATTAATATTGTATTAAAAATATATTTACTAATTAAAATATACAGATTAAAATATTGAATAAATGTATATGTATATCTATTATATGAATAGTTAAATAATATTTCTATAAAAAATTTAACAGTATCGTAGATTTTTAACATATTTAAATAATAAATTATTTATAAAATAAAATAAAATAAAAAAATCTACAACGCTCAACGAGTACCGATGAACATAATTAACGATGAGCACCATTAAATTAATTTATAAAAATTTAAAATTCTAAAAGGTTCGAAGTATAATTATAAATTAGTTGAAAATTTAAATGTAAATGATTTAAAATAAAAGGTAAACTATATTAATGAACACCTAAATATTGTCCCTTTTTTATTTTGACCACCATTTTTAAAATTTTGTCAATCAGGTCACTCAGCTATTTAAATGCATTCAATTAAGCTAATTGCCGTTAATATTTAATGAAAAACTGATGTGCCAGTTAAAATATTTGATATTATTACACATTTGGTCCATGTTATTTATATATTCTATCAATTTGGTCTTAATTTTAATAAATTAAAATAAACTTAACCCTCAAATCAAACGGTGTCAAAGTAGTCTTTATTCATCTTATTCTTTCAATTTGTTGAAAAACAAACAAGGAAAAAAACTTAAAAAAAATTGATTTCATTTTTTGAGAAATTTAAAAAAATTAAATATCAAACACTTTGATTTCAAAAATACACATATATTAAGCAAAATTAAAATTTAAACTCTTAAAAATTAATCCAAAACAATTAAATTTTACATATAATGCGATGAATTAGGTAAAATTAAAGTTATAATACTTGGATAGTTGAGTAATAAAAATTAAATATTTTAAACAAACGGTCTAAAAGTAATTATAAAATAAAATAAAACATCTAATTTAAACTCCTAAAATCATTGAAAGATATAATTTAAACACATGAATTTGTGACATTAATTGCCTTGCATGTATCAATGTAATGTTGGCAGATCTCATCACAAAATATTGACATGTTTATTTACTTTATTATTAGAAATAATAAAAGCCAATAAAAAGAAAAGAAAAGTTGTAATGGTTGGCATTAAATTGGATTCCTCTCCAATTAACTACTTTGGCATATTTGAGGGTTAAATTTATTTTAGTTTATTAAAGTTATGACCAAATTGATAGAATATATAAGTAATTGTATTAAATGTGCCACATCAGTTTTTTCATTAAATATTAACTGCAAGTGGTTTTATTGAATGCATTTAAATAATACTTAAGTAATCTAATTGACAAAATTTTAAAAATGATGGTCAAAATAAAAATGGATAATAGTTAGGTGGTCACTGGTTAACTTACATTTTATTTTAAATAATTTATTTTTAAATTTTCAACTAATTTACAATTATACATTGAATCTTTTAGAATTTTAACGTAACCTCATAAGCTTAAACTTTAGTTTTATGCCGTGGAAAATCACTTTTGGCTGAAATTATACTTTTATCTTCAAATATTATATTTTTAATTTATAACATCATTTTAAATATTTTATCTTTTTAAAAAATATTTTTAATAGTAATTTTAAATAATTAAATTTTAAATTATATATATTTTTAAAATATTTTTTTGCAGCACCTTTAAAATTATTTATCAAATTGGCTAATTTTTAAATTTTGATTATTGCGGCTGCAAATTCACCCATCCGATTTGGTCCGTGGCTATCCCTAACATAACTCAGTTGACGCAAAGAGGATTGGGCCAATTGCAGCATGCCACCCACTTCCATTTCCCAACAAATTAATCTAATCTAAAATGAAAAAAAAAATACAATTTGTTTATAAATGTTGTTAAGTAACTCCTAAGATATTTACATTATTATGACTTCTCTAGAGAGAAAGAGAAAAAAAAAATTTAATTAATGATTTGTTTCTTAAATTACATTATTTTTTATTATTTATTTATTTTTTTGTTGCCCTCCCGTTTCAAGATTTCACCTTGATTAATCTAGATCGACCCGCGTCGCACATCTGATTTTAATAGGTGAGTCTCTCAGCGAGGATTTTCTGCATACACAACTCAAACCTGACACCTTAATTAAGCGATATTAAGTTCTTTACCACTTAAATCAACCCGTTTGTACATTCATTTTTATCTTAATATATACTTTTAGCTCTTTCATATTTAAATTGTTTTGGCACTTAAAAATGTTGGAAATTATAACAAGTTAACATTTCACCTACAACCCACGTGACTAACATATTGACATGACATGGAAGTTGAAACTTGAATGAGAACGAAAATGAAATTTCATTTGACCGTGTCAAAATTTTAATAATACTATACAAGTACAAAATAAACTTTGGATTTTAAGTGTAAATTTTTTAAAAGTTGTATTAAAATTTTGGGTAAATGAAAATTTTCATATTCTTTCTCTTATTTTGCTCATTAAACTTTAAAAGATTTCAATTTTCTAACTGAATTTAATATATTAGGTTTTTTATCGCTTAACTTTACTCTTTCTCCTAATATAGTCACTCCATCGTAAATAGTTAAAAACGATGTCGTTTTAAAAAAAACAAAATCTTTACTAAAACGACATTGTTTTGCATCTATATAACAGCTCATTTTAACGTCGTTAACTATTTAACGGTCGAGTGACAAAAAAAATCTAATGCATTAAGTTCACTGAGGAAATTGAAAAGACTTAAAATATAGTGTGTAAAATAAGAAATAGAATAAAGTTCATTTGCCAATTTTGTAATTTACCCTATAATTTTGGAGTCTAATATTATGAAACTTTAAAGAATATAATATTTCATTATCAAAAACAAATATTTGTATTATATAAAAGTTTAAAATTTTTAAGGATAAAATCGTCTTTAACATTCCTCGATCCATCTCGATATGTAAGTGTGAACACACGTGTATAGGGGTGTTCAAAATTCGATTTTAACCGAATTAACCGACCGAATCGAATTAGTTCGGTTAATTGGTCGGTCACCGAATTAATTCGGTCAGAGAACGATTAAGAATTTTTTTAGAATTCGGTTAATGGTTAATTCGGTTCGAAATCGGTTAATTAATCGAATTAACCGAATTAACCTTTAAATATAATTATATTAAGAGGCCCAATCATTTAAAACCCAAATCAATATTAATTAATTAAAATAATATCAAAACTAAATGCAAAATGTTTGAATCAAATTAATTAGATATTATTTATAATTAGATATTATTTAAATTAATTGTAAATTGTTTTTTTAATTAAAAAATATTAAATTCTAAAAAATTTCGGTTAATTCGAAAATTAACCGAATTAATCGAAATTTATTCGATTCGGTTAATATTTTTGAAAAAAAGTTCGATTCAGTTAACGGTTAAAAAAAAAAGTTCGGTTAATTCGAAAATAGTAATTCGATCGATTCGATCACCGAATTAACCGAATGAACACCTCTACACATGAACCCTATGGAATCCACCTACTTAGTTTTGTTTGATTTCAAAGTAGGTGTGTGTATATGGTGAAACAAAGGTGGCTGAGGTTAGAATTATTCAGAGCCCTATTACAATTCTACGACACGTGTGCACTTATGGATGCTCCCATTTCGTGACCAGTTCTTGGTGTCTCCCAGTCGAAAGAGCCTTAAAATCCATGTAAAATCCATGCATGTTGTCCCTATATATAGGGTTTGAAAGCGCTTCGTTTTGAGGTCAAAGACAAAAACATACTGCTTGTGTTTGGTCTTCGAGATATTTTTAATCCTTTTTTGTCACAAACCCATGATTGATCACACGTGTCTTTCTCACATGATCGCCACGTTTAATGGAAACTTCTTTCCATTTCCATCACCATACCGAACTCTTCGGTTTTTGAAACTTCTTCTAGAGTTTCCATTTGCAGTTTTGCACCCACTCTCGTTGAGTGATATTTTTGTAGCTAATTTATATTTAAATTTTGTTCATTTTTAATTTAAATTACAAAAATTTAATTTAATCAAATTAGATCTTTATTATTATTATTATTATTATTATTATTATTATTATTATTATTACAACAGCATGCTTGACTTGGTTGTTGTGTGCCAACCTAGAATGTAGGAGGACAAGGTTTAGAATCACGTTATACACTAAACGCAGTTATTTAAAAATTCATTAAACGGTATTGGTATAAAAAGATAATGTTGTTCTCTTTAAAAATTTCGTATCAAACAAGTACAATTATATATATATATATATATATATATATATATATATATATATATATTATATTATCGAATAATCAAAATAAATTTAAACAAATAATAATATTTTATAATCATCTCAGGTATTTAAAAACAACTATTATTATTAATGAAATAAGTTATATTTTTTAATAATGTTAAAGAATTCTAACAAAAAACTTTAATCAACACTTTTAGTTAATATATTATTCATATATCATCATTAAATAATATTTAATCGATATTTTTATATAAATTTTTAAAAAATTAAATAAATCTATCTATATCTCTTCCGTTCATGAGCTTAAATGGTAAAATATAAGGGCGGATGCTGGATTTTAAATTAGTGGGAGGCGAATATGAAATTATAAAATTTCAGGGGACGAACTTGAAGTTATAAAATTTTACGTGGGTGAAAACATATTTTCAATATAAATACATAGAAAAAAATCTAAAATATATGATAATTTTATATTTGTAGAGGGCGGCTGCCCCCCACCCGCCTCACCTAGATCCATCCCTAATCAAATATTATATTAAAATAATTAATAATCAATTAATTTAGTAAAAAAATATTAAATAGATTAAAATTCAATCTTCATATACAAAATTGAAATTGAATGATACATAGTTTTTTTTTGTCATCTTAGTTCTAAGATTTCATGTTAACTAATTCGGATCGATTCGTATCGTATGTCTGACTTCGATGAACGAGCCTCTTAATTAATATTTTTTATATACACAAAGATTTTAACCCGAAACTTTACTTAACAATTATCAAATTACTTACTACCTCATCCGATCCTATAGACTTTTATTATATATAAATATATATAGAGAGAGAAAATGAGATTGCGTGGGAGGGCAGCCAATGAGTATGTTCGCGTGGGGAATAGAACCTTGGCCTTAAAGCGAAGATATTTTTGTTTTAGAGCATTCCCTTATACTACTAACTTTAGCTGTTCCTGTCGTTGATAAAATTTTAATGATGATGTGGGAGCAAGTGATTGGTTGAACCACCGACACGTGCTGATTCCACCGACTTTTTGCAGACCACGTTTTTGCCCTTTGACTTTGTCCCCAACCCAGACCATGAGACGCCTCCACCTTGACATACCCCAACACTTATAATCCATTTTTCTACGTTTTCTCTTAGATATTTTGCCACAACTGAATAAGACAATATAAAATTGTTAATGGAATTCCTATTTTAATATTTTTTCATATATCCTATAATAGTTTTTTAATTCATAAATCTTTTAATTATAAATATAATTAAAATTAAAATAATATTGAGACTACTTGATGAATTTATATTGTTAATATAATGTATATGAAATTATGAGATTTGATGTATTTAAATATTTAATATGCATTTGATTTGTATCAAAATTATATAAATATTATTAAATATACTCAACGGTACTCTTTTTTTTTAAATTTTTTTTATAAATATGATTTGATTAAGATAAAAAAAAAAGAAATTCAACGTCGTGTGGGTCCTCCAATACCAAACAAGAACTCTGAGACTTGTATAAATTCTTCACTTCTCTGCGAAAAGTGAAGAAAAACATTACCCTGCGGTTCTCTTTGAAACTCATCGCTTCTCGCTGCAAAACGTATCAATTTTAGCTCCATAGAAACGAAATCAACTCGCCGTCTCCGTTTCTGTTACTGCATTCGATTTATACATTTTATTTGCTTGATCTTCCCATCTGAAAGTCATCGAAGTCTCATTTATATAGAGAAAAGGTGCTGCTTATCGGTATCAATGGATGCTTCAAATAATAGTGGAGACGAGACACAGAGGCGTCAATGGAAGCCAGTCTTTGACGAAGCTGCCATGTCGAAAAGGCCTCTCAAGAAGATCCGTAGCCCTGAACGAGAAACCCCTTTTCAATTCTCTCCTTCTTTAGCTCATCCGTCTTCTTCATCGGATGCTCCTTTGCCATCTTCGAGTCTGGCTTTACCTTTTCATTTTGATGCATCTCAACGTTATGGAAACAATCCAACTCTCGTGCCGTCATTCCGACCGTCGCCTCAAAATCCGCAACACGGTGTCGTTTACCACCCGATTTTCTCGGGAGAATCGTCTCTATGGCCTCAGCAACATCAGCAGCAGCAGCAGCAGCAACTGGTTCAGTACTGGAGCAATGTGTTGAATTTGAGTCCGAGAGGGAGGCTGATGATGATGAGCAGATTGGGGCAGCAGGATGGGACAGGGAGACAATTGTTTAGGCCGCCGGTGCAACCGATAAGTGCTACCAAGCTTTACCGGGGAGTGAGACAGAGGCATTGGGGTAAATGGGTAGCCGAAATCCGACTTCCCAAAAACAGGACTCGTCTTTGGCTCGGCACGTTCGACACGGCCGAAGATGCCGCCTTAGCCTACGATCGCGAAGCGTTCAAGTTGAGAGGAGAGAATGCAAAGCTCAATTTCCCCGAGCTTTTCCTCAATAAGGACCAGAATCTCCCACTACAACAACAGGAGGATCAGAAGCCGCAGCCTCCAGAAACGGAAACGTTACAAGAACAGGCAGCAGAGCCTGAAGAAGAAAACGTCGACACCGATTCGGGGATGACGACGGAGGGTTCGGGAGTTGGGGATTGCGTATCGGGTTCCCAGGAAATGGAATGGGGAGCCATGGCAGAGGCGTGGTTGAATGCGATTCCAGCAGGCTGGGGACCTGGTAGCCCAGTGTGGGATGATTTAGACACCGAAAAGAATCTTCTTTTCCCCTCAAATCTTCCTTCCACAGATCAAAATCAGCAGCAGCAACAACAACAACAACAACAAAACAGTTCATCTCCTCCTCTTTCAGCTTCTTGTCCAGCAAAACGCTTCTTCTGGAAAGATCAAGATTACTAAGTGAACCATATCATCCATCTTTCTAGTAATATAGCCATTCTTTGCCCGCAGATTTCACTTATAATTAGCAGATTTCTTCACCACAACTGATCGACCTGTGGTGGTTCATTTAGTAGGATCGGCATCTATTAGCTGCAGCCCCACCATGATTCATATATTCCCAGTAACCACGTGCGAAAAGGTTGCGTATCATTTTTTCTGGCCTTTTAGCAGTGACAAATCTCATGTCTTCCAATGTCTTTAAATTAGCTTTAGGTCTTGCACGATTGCACCATGTTTTTTTGTTTTAGTAATAAAATCCAATTTGAGTTGAGGAGACAGTTTGGTGATCTCCTTCTCGATTGTGTCCCACGTCACAAGCTCCATTTGAGCATGCATTTTACAGTTTGTTTTAGTAATAAAATCCTTTGTAAAAGTAGATGTAATACATATTCATGTTTACCATTTACGTTTTATGTATCATAATCTTGCTACTGTGAAAAGTTTTTCGCATTAATTATGGACCGACTGGCCATGCCCTGGGGAATGAGATGATGATGATGTGCTGAAAGTTGGGACCAGTCACCGCCCATGCCATCACATCTGGGAACCCATATTTCTTAATTTTTTTCATCGGCAAGCTGATATTTTATTAAATAAAAAACCGTCTTTGATTATATGCCCATATTTCTTAATACCCTAAGGAATCACGCTTGTTAACTCGAAAACATTGATCAAAATATCTTGTTGGTTGTGTTCTTTTGCTAAAACACTATTTGATGAATTTGATGAATACTTTATTATAAATATGAATTTCATTGTTTCAATGTGGATTCAAATATTATAGGCACGAGAGTGAATATTACGATCACAATCATCGAGAGATGTTGTGACAGTGACAATTTGAGTTGACGAAATCTTATTGACGAGAGTCACATTACATTATTTTCAACGAGAGCCGAATGTTTTATCTTTGCATTAGTATATGCTTGTACACTTTAAGGTGAAATTTTCGGCCGATCATCCTGCAAAATCGAGTCGAAGAAGGCGAGATCCGTGCTATCAAAAACCGAATGAAAACGAGAACGAGGTGGAGGAGAGGGAGCGGGAATGTCTAATGGATCAATGAAGATGAAGCAGTGTTAAAACACAAGTTAGACTTCTAATATGAATCCTTTAGCTTCGTAATTTGCAGGTTTTAAATATAGAAATATCGGCGAAGAACTTGAATTCTAATAGTGAAAATAAACTTATTAATCAATCGATCGGATTACAACGAATTACAAATTTTATTAATTTTGATCAACTTTTGTATTGTCTTCATCAAAATACATCAATCAACAATATATTTTTTTCTTGCTCAACCGGAGAAAATATTATTATAATAATCAATCAACAATATATTTTTTTTCTTGCTCAACCGGAGAAAATATTATTATAATAATAAACTAGCTAGTGTGAGCCTCGTTAAAAACCTCCTTAATCTTAAATGGAGGAAAAGAGTGCCAACAGCTAGGGATACAATATTCATAGGGGATCAATCAACAATGTACAAATAGACTAAAATAAACTTCAAGAAATTGGCATCTGGTATCGACACATCGGGCATAAATGACTTGTCTTCAACCACTCCACAATGCAATCGTAGTGATAAACATGGTCGCAAGGCATCGAGGTAACCTCGTCCTGGTCGGAGAACTCATCTAAACAGATGACACATTCTTTCCTTGAACTCGAATCCTGACTCAATTTCCTCCTCTTCTTCAACGGAATATAATCTTCATCGTCATCGTCCCTATATTTGACCCTTTTCAATTCCTTAATAGATGACGTACTCGCAGGCGTGAAATTCACCGAACTCGCCAACGATTCGTCAACCAATTCATCTGATTCGATCAAGTCATCGAGATCCACCTCAACAAGTATCTCGACTCTCAACTTCATTACTTGACGTTCGAGGACGTCCATAGGCAAACTATCGGCATGGCGTGCATAAGACAAGATATCAGGGACAAGAACAGTATCGATGAATTCTGGGGTCGCTCCCGACTCGGCGATCATGGACTGTATGGTGTCACGAGTAATTTCAGTGGTTAAAAACATGTCATGATGACCAATGGCGGTGCAATTGAAGGTTTGCAGGGTTATATACGGGTAAAGAGAGGGAGCGTAACGCATCTGTATATCCAAGTGAAGAAGACGAGGTGGGTTCGTAGAACGAACATGCTGTGGACAACTCACGTACTCATGATTGATATTGATCAGGGAGTAACAGAAAGCCATGCCAAGGTTTCTGGGTTTTCAATTTTGATGTGATTTCTTGGGGTTAATGCGTGGCTACAAGTGAAAGAAATAGGGTTTTATAGGCGTTTAAGGGCACTTCCAATAAGTGAACTTATCGTTAATAACATTATTAAAAAAATGACATTTTCATTTAGGGTAAATTACGTGTTTAGTACATAGACTATCAATTTTGATTCGTTTTAGTTCCTAAACTTTAATTTTTTTTTTCAAAATCATACCTAACGTTTAGTTTTTGTTTCATTTTAATACCTGGTCATTAAAATTTTAAAGGACAAGCTCATCGGCCGCCAGATCTACAATCGTCGGTCGTCGTATCCTTTAGTCGATGAAGCCCAAACTTTCTAACCCTCACCTTTTTGACACCGTGAACGTGATTATCACATCCGTTTCACAAGAAAGTGCCTCAATCTCCCCAAATCTATGATGAACTCTTCAACTTCTTCATCCTCAATTGTCCAATGGGCATGAAACTGGACTCTGTTAGTCGACTCATCATTCTTTTGTGGTCCAACATTCAGATTGGTCGTCCTTCCACTAGAACTATGTCCCATCAGTCCATCCGTTAAATATTTAACGGCGGGATACTAAAATAAAACAAAAACTAAATGTTATATATGATTTTAAAAAATTAAAATCTCGAGTAGTTTAGATACTAAATGCATAATTTACTCTTTCATTTATTTATGTTAGCATTATTTTTGGGACATCATTTACCCTTATTTTTAAAAGAAACCTCATTAAATATCAATTAGACAATCCACTAACTAAATAGGCCTTCAACTTTTGTAGGCAGTAGGGTGTAATGAAAATTGAGTTAAGCTCATGTTGAACTAAATTTTATTTTTAAAGCTCAAGCTTTGCGCGTGAAGAAATTCAAGTCTTTGATCTCCCCCGACAGATTGTAATTAAGTTTTACCATGCAAAGCAATGGATGATAATGATTGATAATATAGGCAAATCCTCGGTTAGCGATTTTACCGATCTAGCACCTTTTTTTACAAGGCGCGGATCGTCATCAGCTCCTTTCTGGGGGTTTTTCCGAGCTGGCGCCACATCATGACCACCCATGCCTTATCTGAGCTAGAGCCACGTAATGATCCGTGCCTTTTTGGGACATCTGACACGCGTACGTAAGGCGCGTATAATCATCCGCTCCTTCCATTATTGGTTTCGAAAATCTCGGCTTTAAACTCTCACCTCACCTATAAATAACACCTCTTCTATGGAAATATCACCACACCAATTCCTTCTATTTTTGCTTCATCAATTCCTTCGATTTTTTGTTGTAAGGTAAAATTATTTTTATTATATTATATTTATTTTATATATGATTATTTGAAAAATTGTACTAATTATTTTGTATTATTTTTTGCGATTGTAAAATTAGAAAGTGGGATCATACGTCGAGACATTTTGCCAATACGGTAACAATATAAAATTTATTATTTAAATTATTGTGAAAAAGTTTAAATTTTTTATTAGGTTATATTTTAATTCATATACCATTTATTTAATTAGGCGTATTTCAACTATTGTTTTTCTCTCAATCTTTGAAACTCTCAGAAGGACGCATATTTCAGCTATTGTTTATTATGATGGAGAAATTCGGGAATATTAAACCGGTGTCGTGTTCGCATCAAATCATTCTGTCAAAATATCATTCAAGAGAAACATAACTCTTGAGGAGCTAATAACGAAGATTTTAAGGAAGGTTCATGTTGGAAGTACTAGAAGATTGTCCTCACTTCAGTATAGATTTCACCCCGTAGTATTTCTGTTAACTTATACAACGTTCGAACTATCCAACGATGACGATTTTGCTATAATGGTTGATTCTCAAAATCGTTATTCAAACGCCGATACAGAGATGTATGCGAAATTTGTTGAAGTGTGTGTTGTTCGTGGTATGTTATTATGCTCTCACTATGGGCTGGCTCAACAAGTTGATCAAGTTGACAGCTCAACTCAAGTAATATGTAATGATTTTAACTCGTTAATGGGAAATCCACATCATGGTGCCATCCCATCAAGTTCAATAGGGAGACATTCATCATCAACTTCTTATGATTTGTACCGATGTGGCTCCATAAACAATTCGTATGGCAACATCGCGTCCAGTTCAAGGGGAAGGCATTCATCTGCCAATTTCTTTGACATGAATATGGAGATACCCTCGACGCAAAAATCTATACAGTACCCATTTGACACGATTCCTTCAAGCTCCAAGAGGAGGCATTCAACTGCAAGCTTCTTCGACCTCAATGTCGAGATGCCTTCAAGTTCAAGGGGAAGACATGCAACTACCAGCTTGTTCGACCTAAATGTCGACATCGTGGAGGAACCCTCATCTCTACCAGAAGAACCTCTTCGTGAGCCAGGTGCGGATGATGCTGAGACCGGACTATTCGTTCAGCCAGAAAAATGCAATTCAACATAGACTCTGATGATGATGATGTAGATGAATTTCCCACAAATACGGTATACATTGAACCTCCAGCACACATGTATGAAGCTAACTATGGTGCAATGTATGGGCCAGAATTTGCGGATATGCCTAACGTCGGTGACTATGGATTTAACTCATCAGTCAATGATGGTGAGTTATATAAAGGAATGGAGTTTTCATACAAAGAAGAAATGATGATGAAAATTAAGAATTACAATATTCGTAATTCTGTTCAGTCCAGAGTCGACTGCTCTACATCCGAAAAGTATGTATGCCACTGTGTCCAACGTGATAACGGATGCAATTGGATGGTTTGCGTATCAAAGAGGAAGAGGAAAAACAATATATGGGAATTAACGATATACAGCGGTTCTCACACATGCTATGTTGGAGGGATCAACCAGGATCATCCCAACTTGGACTACGACATTATCTGCCAAACCATCATGCCCATGGTAAAAGCAAGCTCCCACATAGCTATTGATGTGTTGATTTCAGCTATACAATCGCAGTATGGGTATACCGTATCATACAGGAAAGCATGGAAGACAAAGCAAAATGTCATTAAAAAACTTCA